GAAACTCAACAAATATTTATTGAAGGAAGCGTTTGATTGAATCAGGAGTTTCAAAAGAGGAAGGATATTTGAATTAATATTCATTGAGCCCTATTATTTGCTAGTATTGGTGGAGGATATAAAATCCTGGTACTCTCCCTCTCTTCCCTCATATATCCTCAAATATTGCCTTATGAAAAAAGCCTTCCTTATATGCATCCAATGCAGGAGCACCCAAATATATAAAAATAAAATTTCTGGAAGATATCAATGGAGAGATTGACAGCAATACAATCATAGTAGGGTACTTTAATACCCCACTGACATCACTGGATAAATCCTCTAGACAAATTAACAAAAAAACCTCCAAAACAACAAAACAAAAAAAACCTCAAACACCCCAGCAATCCTCAATGACTCACCAGATTAGATAGATTTAATTGATATCTTCAGAACATTTCACTCCAAAGTTACAAAATACACATTCTTCTCAAATGCTCATGGGACATTTTCAAAGATAGCTACATATTGGGTCATAGGCAAAGTCTCTCCACATTGAAGAAGATTGAAATCATATCAAGCATCTTATCAGATCACAATGGCATAATATTAGAAATCGACTACAATAAAAACAAAAAAAAAATCAAATACTTGGAAGTTAACTAGCATGTTATTAAACAGTGATTGGGTTACCAAAGATATCAAAGAAGAAATTAAAAGCATCCTGGAAACTAATGACAATCAAAACACAACAATCCAAAATCTATGGGACACAGTAAAAGCAGTCCTGAGAGGAAAGTCCATAGCATTACAGGTCTACCTTTTAAAAAAACCAAAACCACAAAAATAAACAAAAAACCTCACTGGTAATAAATTATATACCTCTACAACCTAAAGATTTAGAAAGAGAGCAAGAAGAAAAGCCCAGAGTGAGCAGAAGGAAGGACATAATAAACATCAGAGCAGAAATAAATGACATAGAGTCCAAAAAAAAAAAAATACAAAAGATCAATGAAACCAAGAGCTGGTTCTTTGAAAAGATAAACAAGATTGATGAACCTCTAGCCAGGCTCACCAAGAAAAAAAGGGAGAGGACCCAAATAAACAAAATCAGAAATGTAAGAGATTAAGTAATGATTATGAAAAAATATTATGAACAACTTTATTCTCCAACTAAACAACCTAGAAGAAATGGACATATTCCTACAAAAATAAAACCTTCCAAAATTCAATCAGGAATAATAAAAAATCTCAATAGGCCAATAACTACAGAGGAAATTGAAGCAGTAATAAAAAATTCCAGCAAACAAAAGCCCAGGGCCAGACAGCTTCACAGGGGAGTTTTACCAAACATTCAAAGAAGAACTAAAACCTATCCTCCTCATACTATTCCAAAAAGTTTAAGAGGAAGGCACACTTCCAAGCTCTTTCTATGAAGCCAGCATCACCCAAATCCCAAAACCAGATAAACACAATACAAAGAAATAGAATCACAGGCCAATATCCCTCATAAACATAGATACCAAAATCCTCAACAAAATTCTAACAAATCGGATCCAGTATTATATTAGACATATCATATACCATGACCAAGTGGGATTTATTCCAGGAATGGAAGGATGGCACAATATCCCTAAATCAATAAATGTGATATATCCCATAAACAAATTGAGAGACAAAAATCACATAGTCATATCAATCAGTGCAGAAAACGTCCAACACCCTTTCTTTATAAAAACCCTTAGCATAGTGGGAATAGAGGGATCATACTTCAACATAATAAAAGCCATATACGACAAACCCACAGCCAACATCATACTTAATGGACAAAAACTAAAACCATTTCCCCTAAGAACAGGAAAAAGACAGGGATGCCCGCTTTCACCACTACTGTTCAACATAGTACTGGAAGTGTTAGCCATAGTGATTAGACAAGAAGAAGAAATAAAAGGTATTCAAATTTGAAAATAAGTAGTAAAATTACCATTATTTGCAGATGACATGATACTGTACATAGAAAACCCTAATGACTCTAAAAATTATTAAATTTAATAAACGAATTAGTCAATGTAGTAGGACACAAAATTAACACCCCAAAATCTATGGCATTTTTATACACCATTAGAGGGCTGGTGCACGAATTCATACATAGGTGGGGTCTGGCTGGCTCACCCCGATGGGTGATAATAAGTCACTAATTATCTGAGAAATGCAAATCAAAACAACAATGCGGTACCATATCATACTTGTCAGAATGGCTATCATCAACTAATCAATAAATGACAAGTGTTGGTGATGATTCAGAGAAAAAAGAACCCTTGTGCACTGCTGGTGGGAATGCAGATTGGTGCAGCCACTATGGAGAACAATATGGAGTTTCCTCAAAAAACTAAAAATGGAACTCCCATTTGACCCAGTGATCCCACTTCTAGGAATATATCCCAAGAAACCAGAAACACAAATTAAAAAGAATGTACGCACCCCTATGTTCAGAGCAGCACAATTCACCATAGCTAAGATTTGGAAATAGCCTAAGTGCCCATCATCAGATGAATGGAATAGAAAACTATGGTACATCTACACAATGGAATACTATGCTGTGGTTGAAAAAGGAGTTCTTACCATTTGCAACAATATGGATGGAGCTAGAGAACATTATGCTAAGTGAAATAAGCCAGGCAGAGAAAGATAAATATCACATTATCTCACTCATTTGTGAAATATAAGGAACAACATAAACTGATGAACAAAAACAGTCCACAGACAGAAACATCAATCAGAACATCAAACCTCAGGGAAGGTAGGGGATGGTGGGGCTAAGGTGGAGAGATCAACCGAAGGACTTATAAACATGCATATAAGCCTAATCAATGGACACAGACAACAGGCAGTGGGGGAATGGGGGAAAAAGGATATATTGATATATGTAATGCCTTAATCAATAAAGAAATTTAAAAAATAAATGATTCAAAAAAAAATTAACAGCTTCATTGATGTATAATTGGTTCAATAAATTGCACACATTTTAAGGGTATAATTTGATAAATCTGATATATGTATATAGCCATAAACCAATCACCACAATGAAAATTATGAATATATCCATCATCATCCCGAATTTCCTCACTCCCACCCCTCCCTGTGCTCCACCTCCTAACAATCACTTAACTGCTGTCACTATAGATTAGTTTTCGTGTTTTAGATATTTATATAATGGAATCATAGAGTATGTAATTTAAAAAAATTTTAATGCAATATTTTAAAAATTCATCTATGTGGTAACATGTATCAATACTTTATTCCTTTTCATGGCTGAGTATAATTCTATTTCATATATACGTATACGTAAAATATCACAATTGGTTTTTCCTTTCTTACTTAGTTTTATTTTTTCTGTAGTACTTATTATCATAGTTTGTTGTCTACCAGAATTAAGGTCCTCAAGGGGAGGGACTTTGTATACTGCTATAGCCACAGTGCTTGGCACATAGGTACTCAATTAATATTTGGTGGATGACTTTCATTTACTCCCATGGCTTCAGTTTTCATTCATATGCTGATGACTTCAATGGGTGCAGAAGTGTGTTGAGTCACCAATAAAGAGCTGAGAATGACAAAGGTTTCTATCGCTGGGAAACTTGATGGATGATGATCATTAACTGAGATAACAGAGTACAGAAGACAGAGAATTGTGTGTGAGTGTGTTTATGAGATATATTGAGTTCAGTTTTGGGCATGCTAAATCTTAGATTCCCATAAAGTAGTTGAAAATGTAGGATTTTGGAACTTGGAAAAGAGGTGAGGGCTGGATTAGGGAGTTTAGCAATTGTATGGGTTTAGGTAAGATCATCCAGAGAGGAGATGTAGAATGAAGGAAAGGGTCAATAAAATTTAAGTGATAGGCAGGAGAAGAGGAAGCAAGAAAAGAGAGAAAAATGGCCATAGCAGTAGGTGCATGCTTGTGTGTGTATGAGGGGGGCGGGGGTAGGGGGAAGGTTCACTAAAACAAGGGAGAAAGAGAGTGTTTTAAGAAGTAGAGATTGGTCAACTGTGAAGGATGTTATAAAAAATCACACTGAAGCATGGAGGCATGGAACAAACTAACACACTCAATGTGGGCGTGAGAGGATGAGGCGAGATAAGTAAAATAATTTTTATACTTATATGCATAGCCCATGGACACAGACAATATGGTGGTGAAGACCTGGGGGTGGGTGGGTAGGAGCTGAGTGGAGAGGGGCAAAGGTTGGGAAAATGAAAGACATTTGTAATACTGTCAATAGTTTTCACATTGAATGAAGACTCAGAATAGGTCCTGATTTGGCAAATCTTTATGGAAATGCAAAAATAAAACATTCTGTATCATAATATAGGTAGCAGTGAAATAGCTCAGGAGTTCAAAGGAACAAGAGTTCTGCATTTGTGATAGAACTATAATTTTGGAGTCCCAAGGAATTAGGTGATTGCCTGAATGTTAATATTGTACTCTGGGTGTTTCCTCTGTAACTCTTGCCTTAGATCTTTAATTAAAATTATAACAGCAACAAAGCTTCAGTATGATACTGCTGTTTTATACATTTATCCCCCAAAAAGCAACATTGGGTTGACCAGACATACATTTCATTTGGAAATCATAACTGGAATTTTGAAATTTACTTCTTGGTTATGTTCTCATTTGTATATTATAATCAGAAAAAAATAAATTGTAGGGGTGTAGATTAATCTTTTAACAGACATTAAATATAGGTATTCAATGGTGTATACATGGTGCAATAAATTAAACTTATGCAGAATTTATGAGTCAAACCTAGGTAATTAATTCTAATGGTTATTCAAATAGAATCAGTCATAAGGATATTTGGGAAGAAGGGATTAGTTAAGATAAACACTAATTTTGAATAATCAACATTTTACTGAACTTTAAAAGAAATGCATTGTTTTGGCCTCTGCCTCTTTTCTCTGTGTGAGTGTGTGTATGTGATATTCTGCTTACTGAAACATGAAAAACTTGTTTGTTTCAGGATCAGATTTGCAAGTATGTCTCCCCAAGGGCCCAACATGCTGCTCAAGGAAGATGGAAGAAAAATACCAAATAACGGCACGTTTGAACATGGAACAACTGCTTCAATCTGCAAGTATGGAGCTCAAGTTCTTAATTATCCAGAATGCTGCAGTTTTCCAAGGTGAGTTCTGGCAATCATTTTAAATGTGGTGCCAGAGGTATCATTATGTGGGTACTTGGCTTTCAAAAGCTAAATATAAGTTATAAATTACCATTATGGCATTAATGCTTGATATAAATACCTCCTAGTAAGAAAAAAATTCTGTTTAAGGAAAACATGTTTTTTAAAGACGTTTCATTCCAATCTTTGGAAAGGTAGGTATTGGCAAAAAAATCATTGTCCAAGGACATATTGTTTATCTGTTTGTAAAATGTTATAAATTCCTTTAGAAAGAGTAAATTATATTTTCTTTCAAATAACCTGTAAGACTTGCTTAAAGAATAAAAATAGTTTACTTAAAATACTAGTTTTCTCCAGGCATGAGTTAGATAGTTCTGAAACATATACAAACTCCTTCTGACCACTGAGACCATTTCCATTTAAGAGGGGAAAACTGGTTTGATGGATCTACATTTTCTCATTTGTGTGAGTGGTTTTCACTTCTTGTGAGTTTCAGTTCTTACTATATCTGTCTGTGACTAAAATAATCTGTTGTTGCATTGCCAGATGTGTAGAAAATTGCATTTCTCTTTGCTAACTTGTAGGAGTGGCAGGATGGGGAATACCTCCTTTGATTCAAAGACCCAGCTAGGGATGATAATGATAAGGGTAACAGTATTGGTAATAGCAAGCATGTATATAGCATTATATGCTAGGTAATCTTATAAGTGCTTTACATATATTAATTCATTTAATCCTCAAAATAATTCTGAAATGGAAGTATCATTATTATTATCCCCATTTTATGGATAAAAATCCAAGGCACAGAATGGCTAAGTAACTTGCCCTAGGTCACACAACTATAAGCAGAATTATAAAGTCATACAACTAATAAGCAGAATAATAAATGAAAGCAGAATTTGAAACCAGGCAGCTTGGTTTTTAAAGTCTATACTTTTAACAACCTCAGTATGCTGCCTCCTGTGAGGGAAAATTAATTAAGGATATTGGGGTTTTCTTTTATTTTTTCTTAAGCAGATGTAATCAGCTGCCTTTTTCTTGCCCCATAAAGAAAGAATTGAGGTTGTATAGAAAAAATAATAATTCTGACTACTTGATATTCCAAATCTTTAGAGTTATACTACCTTTATTAAAATTAACCTCTTTGAATTGTAAGGTGGGTTGATTATAGCTTATTTTGTATGTTATAATGAAATTCTTAGAATTAGCTTACAAAATTATTCAAATTAGCTAATAAATCATACATTCACAACAGTTTCTTGGGACAAAACTTCAGGGGATGTTGGGTTGATTATATGAAGTACAATATATCAGCTTGAAGTATTTTTAAACCTATTTAGTAGTCAGACTCTTGTGAAGAGTTTGTTGAGACTAACAATTTGGCAATAGAATGAATAATTTAAGGTGATTTTAAAAATACATGTACCATTCATGTACCTCTTAGATTGGCTGGTTGAAAATGGGAGTGATAAGAAGTAATGTGACATGAGAATTAGGTTGAAGATGAGAACTGAATCTTACCCTTTGGGGTGTTAAGGTGCTTTTTCAGAATGGAGTATTTGTGATTTAATTCCAAGAATAACCAGGCCCACACATATCTTACTACTATTGCCTGCCTAGAGGGGTTTGATAGAGTGATCACACTGGTATTCTTACATGCAGAGTAGTTAACATGACTCTCCATCTGAATGCTTTGGGTGTAACCATCTCTTGTCTAGTCCTGCATTTTGCACATTGTTTTCTAGGCCTGCAACAGCTCAAGAATAGGTGAGAAAGGGAGTTTTTGCAAGATTTTGATAGGATTAATTTACAGATATGGCTGCTGTGGCATGGATTTTGAACATTAGTCATGTAAACAGAATGGTAGGAAATGGGGGCAGCACCTACTAGTTGTATTTCTCTCTCTCTCTCTCTCTCTCTCTCTCTCTCTCTCTCTCTCTCTCTCTCTCACACACACACACACACACAATATATGTATTTTTTAAATCACCTTAAATTATTCAAATTGTTCGGATAGACACATGGCCAATCCTAGCAAAGGAACATAGAGACAGCTAGATGATGTCTGAACTCATTGTGTGGCCTTCTTCCTTGTCACTATACTATGTATTTGTTTTTAATCTTTTTTCATTCTCTTTCCCTGCTTCATAGGAAAAAGATAGACTCTGATGTCAGACCTCAAGCCAATGTCATATTTGTAGAGGCATTGCACCAGAACCATTTGTATGACAAACATTTGGGGAGACGAGACTAAAATCAGAGACCCCTACAAGATGATAAATGGGGGGGGGGGGGCACAGTTTTTTTTCCTAAAATATATTTCCTCTCCAAGATGCTGATAGATGAAATTATTATTATTATTTTTTTCAAATACAGTATTTTATTTTATTTTTTTAGGGTAGTTTTATTTATTTATTTATTTATTTATTTATTTATTTATTTATTTATATTTTTTAAAATATATTTTATTGATTTTTTTTTTGCCTCCCTCCCTCCCTCCCAAACATCCCCTCCCTCCCCAGAGTTTTGTGTCCATTGGTTGTACTTATATGCATGTATAAAAGTCCTTCGGTTGATCTATTATCTCCCCCAGATCTTCCTCCCCTCCCCGCTGTAATTTGACAGTCTACTTGTTGATATACTGTCTCTATATCTATCTTTTGGTTCATCAGTTTATAATGCTCTTTATTATCCACAAATGAGTGAGGTCATGCGGTGTTTCTCTTTCATTGATTGGCTTATTTCACTCAGCATGATATTCTCCAATTCCATCCAGGTTGCTGCAAATGATGAGAATTCCTTCTTTTTTATGGCAGCATAGTATTCCATTGTGTAGATGTACCATAGTTTTTGGATCCAATCATCTGCTGACGGACACTTAGGCTGTTTCCAAATTCTGGCTATTGTAGATTGTGCTGCTATGAACATAGGGGTGCATATATCCTTTCTGATTGGTGTTTCTAGTTTCTTGGGATATATTCCTAGAAGTGGGATTACTGGGTCAAATGGGAGTTCCATTTTCAGTTTTTTGAGGAAACTCCACACTGCTCTCCACAGTGGTTGCACCAGTCTGCATTCCCACCAGCAGTGCACGAGGGTTCCTTTTTCTCCGCAACCTCGCCAACACTTGTCGTTTGTTGATCTGTTGATGTTGGCCATTCTGACAGGTGTGAGATGGTACCGCATTGTTGTTTTGATTTGCATCTCTCGGATAATTAGTGACTTTGAGCATGTTTTCATGTGCCTTTTGGCCTTCCTTCTGTCTTCTTTTGAAAATGTTCTATTTAGGTCCATTGCCCGTTTTTTAATTGGATTATTTATCTTCCTTTTATTTAGTTGTATAAGCTGTTTGTTAATAGATGTTGGAGATTAAACCTTTATCAGTGGTATCATTTGCAAATATGTTCTCCCACACTGTGGGCTTTCTTGTTGTTTTGTTGATAGTTTCTTTTGCTGTAAAAAAGCTTTTTATTTTGATGTAGTCCCATTTGTTTATTTTCTCTTTAGCTTCCATTGCCCTAGGGGTAGTATCAGTGAAGAAGTTCTTTTGGCATACGTCTGAGATTTTGCTGCCTGTGGATGCTTCTAGTATTTTTATGGTTTCCCGTCTGATGTTTAAGTCCTGTATCCATTTTGAGTTTATTTTTGTGAATGGTGTAAGTTGGTGATCTAGTTTCATTCTTTTGCATGTGTCTGTCCAATTTTCCCAACACCATTTATTGAAGAAACTGTCTTGACTCCATTGTATATTCGTGCCTCCTTTGTCAAATATTAATTGAGCATAGTGATTTGGGTTGATATCTGGGTTCTCGATTCTATGCCATTGATCTATATGTCTATTCTTGTGCCAGTACCAGGCTGTTTTGAGAACAGTGGCTTTGTAATATAGTTTGAAGTCTGGTATTGAGATCCCTCCTACTTTACTCTTCTTTCTCAGGATTGCTGTGGCTATTTGGGGGCTTTTATTGTTCCAAATGAACTTTTGGAGAGTTCTTTCTAGGTCCGTGAAATATGTCGTTGGTATTTTAATGGGGAGTGCATTGAACCTATAGATTGCTTTAGGAAGTATGGACATTTTGATGATGTTGATCCTACCAATCCATGAACATGGTATGTTCTTCCATCTCCTTACATCTTCATCTATCTCTTTTTTCAGTGTCGTGTAGTTTTCCGCATATAGGTCCTTTACTTCCTTAAATTTATTCCTAGGTATCTTAATTTTTTTGGTGCGATGGTAAATGGAATTGCTTTTTTAGTCTCTGTTTCTGCAGTTTCTCTGTTGGTGTATAGAAAAGCCATGGATTTCTTGGCATTAATTTTGTATACTGATAGATGAAATTATTGAGAAAATTTCTCCAATACTTCATGCATATGAAATTAGATGTGAGCTATTCTCTCCACCACATGAAGTTGAAGAAAGCTCATCCTGATCTTGGCCTAGATCCACAATCTATTTAGGATTCCACTTGGGGGTGTTTAAGCACTGAGTGCTCTCTGCAAATATGTGCATGGTTCCTCGAGCAATCCTTATTGCCTTGATTTGGATTTTATGTCTTCATTTGCAGAAAGCCTTTGCCCTCATAAATGAGCCTGGGGCTCTTTGCTACAGTGGTTGGAGTGCTGTATTGCTAATGTTGTTTTGATAATGATTGAAGCATTAAAGAAAGTTGTACTTTATTTTCAATCTTTGCATTGCCTCGTTTCCTAAATTTAATTTACTTAGATGTACTTAGTAAAATGGGGCAGCACAGTCGTTTTTTGTTTCTGCTTAATTAATTCTTTTTGAGAAACTCTATTAAAGTCGGTTTTCTTTTCTATTTCCCCCCCACCTAATAATAATTATGATGATAATGATAATACTAATGGCAATTTATTAAGTGCCTACTATATGATGTTTACTTTTACACAATTATCTCATTTAATTTCCCCAGAAGCCCTAAGAGGTTCATATGATAATTATCTTCATTTTATAGATGAAGAAAGTCATTGATGCCACAGCT